TAGTTTAGCTGTGGAATTCTTATTGATGTTAATGATTAGCAGGGCAAAATGCATACTTTTTTCCATGCATATTATGAGACCCCAGTTCAACTGGTACTTAGACTATATTCTTAATGAAGGGTGTGTGACTAGTCTTCCTGGGCTCAAAAGGAATTGTTATGTAGGCATGAGTTCCTGCTTTTGTGCTATTAAGAAGCTTGAAAACTAAAGAAGAAATGATTCTGTTAAATCTGAAAATATTTGCAATAGTCTGCAGTTTTAATTTGCTTTTCTGAAACCCTAAATGGGTGTCTCCTTTCTACTTTAGCCTTTGAAAAATGCAATTGTTAAAAATTAAATCATAGATCCAAATTTTATAGTTATTATAGTCAATTTCCTTCCAGACATCCTTAGTGGGGAACCTTAGTTTCCTTATTATCAATGAATGATATAGTTAAAAAACTATTATTTAAATCTTGTGCCAATATTTCAATGTTCTTTTGCTTTTCTCTTTTTCTCTTTCTTTCTCTAAGCCCCTTCTTTGTTCTGTGGGTTTTCTTTTGTAACTCCTCCAGACTACAGCTTTGTTCCCCCTTCCTCCACTCCTTTCTGGTCAGGTACTGCTTTATTGCTTTTATATTTCTTCTAAATTTGCTTCTGTTGTTTCTGTGCACAGCAAGCAAGGGAAGGGACGAATAGAATACTTCAGTTCTCCTCTGGCTCCAAAAACTGAGTTATTACATGTTGTTCTTGGAGTGGAACAAAAATCAAACTCTTAAACTTCTGAAAAAGGGTATATTACAATAAGCAGTTTGAATAGGTGTTGCAAAGTTAAATCGCTGCAGCGGATTCAGTCAAATATCAATTCATTGACTGTCAATTTGCTACATATTTGACATCTGTAAGCTATATCTATATTTCAATGTGTTTGCTCAAATGAAAATTTCACTGCTTTTAGATAAATACGTTCGTCCCATCCCTGCAGCAAACCATACTGCAGAACCATTTTAGAATACAGTAGGTTTTTTGTAGAAAATGCTTTCTTTAAATTCTGCATTAACATCGTTAATTTTATGCATTAGTTTTCTAAATGCTCCTTGCTTTATTCTCTTTTAATCACCTCTTCCTGCAAACATTTTAAACTAAGAAACTACATAAAAATGCTTAAAGTAGTGGCAGTGGTAGTCTCTATTAGTGTATCAGTATGGCTATGACTTGCTCTGCTTTCTAAGACCTTGTTTTCAGAGGTGAACTGCACCGCTGGACAATTCAAGAATTTTGCTAGCAAGAAGGTATATACTTTTAAGGAGCATAGGGAAGACCTACTGCTGTTGAGAATGCAGTGTTCACTCATGTTAAACTGGCATATCTCTGTAGATGGGGTAGAGAACTTGGTTTAGGTTGTGAAAATGAAGATTGAGGCTGGCTTTTGCACTAGGGAGGGGAGGTGACTATCCTGTGCCAATACAGATGTGGCCATAATCAAGATCTGACTAGGAGAAGGTGTTGCTTTTTACAGCTGCCCATAGAGGTCATCCAAATTGCTTAAGGCTTACCAGAGTTTCTAGAGGGAAAAAGGGTGTGGGTGGCAGCTTGGTAATAGAATAGCTTGTGTGCTTCCCTGTGCTGAGTGTGTCTCTGATGAGCCCTCTCTCAATTCATGCCAAGAATTTCCATGTCCTCTTGACCGTTTTGCCCATCAGTTCACTGTTTTGGAGACTGATTTTTCCATTTCTGTCGTCTTACATAAAAATTTCTTTGGGACAGATACTTTTTTTTTTTTTTTTTTTCAATAGTCACAACATTGAGAATCCAAGCTTTAAGGCACTCTTCCAGTTGACATCTACTTATATAAAGGGACACATATAGAAAAGATTAATAGAAACCCGTTCTGGTATAGCTGTTTATGCTGTGATTGTGATATTCAGCTGAAATGTCTGAAGCACTCACTTCACTTGAATTGGAGAACATAAAGGAGTTAATTTTGGCCCTTTATTATATGTAAATATTTGAGCTTTCATCCTTTTGGGTTAGGATAGAAGATGACCTCTTTCATTCAACTGCATGGTACTTGATTATAAAGTCCATTCTTACTGTAGCTGGTATCTGTTCAGTGAAAACAAAATTGTGAAGTGACCTGTGGTGATCAAAACTTAGGCTTCCTTTAAGTGTATCACAAATTCCCATATATGTTTTCAACAAAATTATAATTATATTCCTTTTTTCCTATGAAAAACTGCTGTATCAAAAAATTCTGAAGTAGCTGTAACAGTAAGTAAGAATTCAATGTCTTGCATATCACAATACGCTGTGTAAAGTTTTTTTAAATAGAAGTAAAAACATTAAAGGAAAATACTGATTAGTAATTCTTAATTTAAACTTATTTACCTTTTTGAGTGGGATTTCAAATTCTGAAAGGTTACTTTACTTCATATGTTCTTAATAAAACCATCTGGTTAAAAATAGCCAAAGAATTTGCTTACATTAAATGAACAAATACTTATTTCATTGTATTAAAAGTATTTTTTTTTTCAAAAACATTTTTAGAGCTGGCTTGGTTCTGCTGATGTGGAAGTTGGTAACACAGGGAAAGGGTTAAGCTGCCTACTGAGCACTACTGGAGGCACTGCCCATGCTTGTATAATAGAACCAAGGTTTGGTTAAACAGTGCAAGTAAATCTACATTGCTTCAAGGATCATGGAGACTAATGTACAGGAGCAACCCTTGGGGGGATATAGATGCAGAATTGTGAGGAGGCCGTATCACAGGAAGAGAGAAACAACTTTTTTCCTCAGTGTTTTCCTTCTTTATTATTCTTCCATGCATTTCTTCCTTAGTTTTTTTCTTCCATGTTTTTTCCAAATTTGTTCATCCTTGCCTCATGTGATCTTCTTACCCCTTTATCTCCTTTCTAGAATTTGAAATAATTCTCTGCCCCCCAGAACCACCCCTTCCATCCTACAGTGGCTCTCCAAATCTGCCAGTGTTATTGCTGCACACCTATAATCAGTTACTGACCTTATGGGCAATAAATGCACCAATTTTATTTTTTATTAATATTATTATTTTTCTTTCATTTCTCCA